GTCATATCTGAAACACTGTCGCAGAGCAGAACATGTAACTAGTGTCATTATGAAGACATTGAATGAAAGATGTAACTGACATTAGAAATGGCTATATATGATTATGTAATCTCATTATTGTGCATAAGTACATGGCTCATTATATATCCTGAAAACCATATTTCGATAACCAAAGCAGGTAAATACATGGTACCAACTTCATTTCGACCTCATGTTACTGATAATACAAGCTACCTGATTGTCTAACATGTGACTTCATTAATTATGAAACAGAATTTTGTCAGCTTGGGCCCCGGTGACGCCGCTTGCGGCTTTAATTATTCCTTGTTTCTCGAGTTTTTATAAGGCAATTTTTTTCAGGAGGGCGAACAAAAATGAAAAAAATGTTATTCCATGTATAACCTTGTTTCTCCTCTGCAAGAGACTTCAATACTTTCATCATGATACTCCCGCGAAAATGCAACTTGGGTTTGTTATGCAGCGGGCAGGAAAAAAATGAAGATAAAAATATTTTTTTAGCAATTTTTTTTATATTTCATTTTCAGCTCCTGTTCATTCGGCGGGTTCGCGAAACAAGGTATAATAAAAGTCTGGCCTCATCCACCCCATTTAAAATGTGTAATACCTTATCCACAAGACAATTAAATACTACTTTTTATATTTCCACTCTTTCATAACAAGAAAAAGGAAAACTTACAGTCTATTGTTTGTGTTTGGGGTGTTTATTCGCAGTAACCTAGCTTTTGTCCCTTATACACCTGCGTAATATTTTATTTTATTGAAAAAAAACACCCCCCCCAAAACAAAAAAAAACCAAGCAACTCTAATGACTACTACACTGAGTTGTTGTTAGCATAAAAATACAATGATTGTTGACATGGTGCAGGTGGTTTTTAATTCAAACCAGGGTCTCATGGTCAAATGAAAACATTGATAGGGAAAGACACAAATTAGTTCACTCAATTGGTTCAATTCACTCTTCCTGAAGTTGCCCTTCATCACACCACATGGACCGTGGCCGTACATACAACATGTTACATATTAATGACGGAAGACATTGGTTCCAGATTTATTTTAGGGTAGAACTATTTGAGCTTTTGTGATACGAAATGTTACCAGTACAGAGACACCCTGAAATCAAATGGACCCGCCCTCAATTCAAATCATCGTACACAGCGTCGTCTGTTCCGGACCAGGCATACAGGAACACAGTGCACAGTAGTAACATACACACTCATATATATATAGATAGTGTTACAATAATTGATGTTGTGATGATAAATACACTCTGCACTTGACGACATGATCGATCAGACGATTAAAGTTCATACCAAACCTAAAGTACTACCTACTAGCACGTCGTCAACTTACCGACGGTTTTGTGAATGTCGAAGTCTTCGAGTTTATACTGACGTTCGCCTTCGTCGTTAGCTATCGGTTCCGGTGGTGGCAGCTCCTTTATCTTATTCCGTTTTGCCGATTTCCCTCGAATCCTTGAAGCTGCCATCTTTCATGGAAAGTAAATAAGTCACGAACATAAACAAAGTTTCATTCAAATTTGGTCCGATTCACATCGTTGGTCCCGGGCCCATTAAAGTCGCCGTTGTGGGATCCGATCACATCGCCGAATACACTCTGTACAATTGACACTTCACACGTTTATCACTGCGTCTTTCAGGTTAACCGCCACTCCTTTTAGCGATTAATAGACCATGAAAATATTACGTATGACCGCCACTCCCAACAGCGTGTTCGCACCGCAGTGAAGGTCACCACTCTAAAAGTTCTCACATTCAGCAGTCAATGACCATGTGTACATACTAGTATACGAAAGATAAGCGCACCGCCAGCTTTGAAAATCTCTCGATAGCACGACTATATCGGTTCTTGGTGAAATAAATATCCCTTAACTTTATTTTTTCAAATATTTAGTTTACGTTTTGCGATACAGACTGACAATACAGCAATATTTGACGCAATTATGATCAGAATTGTTTTGATGAAAGTAAAACTGTGAGGGCGCAATTGCGTGAGATTTGCTTTGAAGTTGGCCTTTAGCTGAAACCATTATTCATCTTAAGACACATTCAGCTAAATTGGATTAAAACACAAACAGTTATTATTAATTAAGTCTTCAGTATGTATTACATAAATCAATTAGATATGAATATTCTTAGTAGTAATGCATGAGCCATTGAGAGCATGAATATACATATATATAAAACTTTTATTCAGAAAACTTTACAAATGTCCAATTTCAAATAAACACTGCACATCAATAGACTTGTTGACTGAGTCTGTTACTGGGTCTATAGTTAATATTGTTTTGAACTTGAATTAAAATTGTCTAAAAATTACAATTGAAAGGCGCTACTGAAATCACATATGGCAAGTGACGGGGTAACTATATATCCATAATAAATGTGTATGCTGAAATTCAAAGCAGGGTTCAGAAATAAATACTCTGGCAGCAGATTTTGTTGCAGTGCTATGAAATTATATATTAAAAATAGAAAGCTATAATTTAAAAATACCCAGAAATTTTCTAAATTTCGATATGACAGTAAATACGTTAAATCCTTAGATGTGAAATATTCAGAATGCAATTTTAAACATGTTCATTGTTGGTTCCTTTTACATGGTGATAACTATGAATATTGTTAGTCACAATACTAGTTGACTCAGATTAAAATTAAAAATGGTTAAAAAATGAAATAGAGGTAGGCTTCAGCCTCAAACAAACATTTGGTTAACTGAAATGTAGAGGCTGTTTATCTGCAATAGGATTAGAAGTATTTATTTTCAAGCTTGATTTTGACCCCCCCCCCCCTCTCCAAACATGCAAGAACCACTTCATGCCAAATTATAAGAGGGAATTCAATGTCAAGATCAATTTGCCCAATAACATTTTAAAGACCTGTGGGAAGTTATTATTTGTACATTTTTTTGAGCAAATCATTTTCAAATCATAGAAACCAATCAAAACTGTCATTATAAACTGCTTTCTAGATATATTTCATTTGGATAAGATGTGCTCTGAATTGGTTGTCAAATCCAACCAGAGAAGAGCTGCCTCATTCATATGTAATTTGTTGGCCATATATATTTTAAAAAAATCCTTCCCTGTCTGGGCAAACAACATAATGCTTCCAGATGAGAGCTTCATAAATGTAGGAGAATGAAATTTACAGTTTTTGTTTATCACTTTTCATTCTTTAGATATTCATTTCATGAGTCTTTATGTAGTCCACCATCTTGATTCTCCAGCAAAGATTATGACTTAAGTATTACATTATAGCCACTGCAGTGAAAAATGATTTTATCTATAATTTGAGAAATACTGATCCGAATTAGTTTAAATTGTCATTGTTTGTCCTGGAAGGCAAGTCACATTGTTAGGTACCTATGTTTGTCCAAGAAATAATAACCGTCAATACACTTAAAATAAAAAGTGTAAATAGCTCTGGACAGGGCATCCGCCTTTAATATTTCATATTTATTAGCTAAAACAACATCATTTTCACACATTTTAAGTTTTTAGCTCATTGTGGGAGGATTGTTCACAAAGCTGCATAGTGTGAACGCAACTTTAAGGTTCCAAATAAAATGTTCACAGTGATGACATTTCACAAAAGGCTATCTCATGAGAAGCCATAAAAACCATCAATATTATATCGATCTATATAGAGTACATAAATAAAAAAATATCTTTGAATCCACTCCATACCACGTATAATAAAAATGGTTACTAAATATTTATAAACGTAATATCAACTATTATGAAAAAAGATTAATCTATATTACCACATAAAAGCCAGATTTCCATGGTAATGTTAAACATGTTACAAAGCACACAGATTGCATATGAGAGAAGTGAAACATGACTGTACCATGTAACTGATGGAATACAGATGGACCAACTTTATTTCATTTTTAAGATGTGACACATGTACAGGGATAACTCTATCTATGATAAATCCTTAATATTCTTTCTTCTTCCATGAGAAAATGTGGCAGGAATTTAACATAAAGCCAACACCAGTATGTGAGACATTTATGCAGTCAGGAAAAATTATTATCTAGTTTTTGTATTTTTTGGCAGATTTTTCTTTAATTTGTCCTGTTTCAAGCTGATATTGATGTACAAGTTCATCTTGAAGTGATTGTCTTGTAGGTTGGTATCGACAATACTCCATACTGAATTCTCCTTTCCCTTGTGTCTGGGAACGTAACTCAGTTGAGTATCCAAACATGTCATTCAAAGGAGCCTGTGATCAACAAAACAAAAAAATTGTTAAAAATAAAATCAATTACCGGTATATATATTATTATTTTTCGTTGAATTTATTGAGGATGAAATAAATAGAAAAACAATGATTGTTGGATTCATTTTAAGTTCATTGTTCAGTAGTGTAAATGCTACAATGACCAGAAAAGATACAAATATACCAGAAAAAGTATAGCATATAGTATCTCAGAAAATAATCATTTAATGGAAGCGAAAATATTTAACACAGAGGGCACTGTCTCAATTCACCTTTTATTATGCGGCGACTACTGCTGACAAATTTTCATTCCAAGCCTTGCATGTGGGACCCTAAACTATGAACAATGCAAAAGTGAGGCTTAGAACCAAAATAGTCAGCAATGGCTGCCACTTGATAAAAGCAAATTACGCTATCATAGGTAAAGAGCACATTGCCACTGAGGGAACTTAATTAATTTATGTCATAAGCCAAGGCCACATAGGCTACACTATGCATATATGAAGGCAGTGCCTTAAATTATGTCATATCAACACCAAAGGCACTACCTTAAATTATGTCATATCAACACCAAAAGCACTACCTTAAATTATGTCATATCAACACCAAAAGCACTACCTTAAATTATGTCATATCAACACCAAAGGCCCTGCCTTAAATTATGTGATATCAGCACCAAAGGCACTACCTTAAATTATGTGATATCAGCACCAAAGGCACTACCTTAAATTATGTCATATCAACACCAAAGGCACTACCTTAAATTATGTCATATCAACACCAAAGGCACAAGCTTAAATTATGTCATATCAACACCAAAGGCACTACCTTAAATTATGTCATATCAACACCAAAGGCACTACCTTAAATTATGTCATATCAACACCAAAGGCCATGCCTTAAATTATGTCATATCAACACCAAAGGCACTACCTTAAATTATGTCATATCAACACCAAAAGCACTACCTTAAATTATGTCATATCAACACCAAAGGCCCTGCCTTAAATTATGTCATATCAACACCAAAGGCACTACCTTAAATTTTGTCATATCAACACCAAAGGCCCTGCCTTAAATTATGTCATATCAACACCAAAGCCCCTGCCTTAAATTATGTCATATCAACACCAAAGGCCCTGCCTTAAATTATGTCATATCAACACCAAAGGCCCTGCCTTAAATTATGTCATATCAACACCAAAAGCACTACCTTAAATTATGTCATATCAACACCAAAGGCACTACCTTAAATTATGTCATATCAACATGAAAGGCACTATCTTAAATTATGTCATATCAACACCAAAGGCACTACCTTAAATTATGTCATATCAACACCAAAGGCACTACCTTAAATTATGTCATATCAACACCAAAGGCACTGCCTTAAATTATGTCATATCAACATGAAAGGCCCTGGCTTAAATTATGTCATATCAACATGAAAGGCCCTGGCTTAAATTATGTCATATCAACACCAAAGGCACTACCTTAAATTATGTCATATCAACACCAAAGGCACTACCTTAAATTATGTCATATCAACACCAAAGGCCATGCCTTAAATTATGTCATATCAACACCAAAGGCACTACCTTAAATTATGTCATATCAACACCAAAGACCCTGCCTTAAATTATGTCATATCAACACCAAAGACCCTGCCTTAAATTATGTCATATCAACACCAAAGGCACAAGCTTAAATTATGTGATATCAGCACCAAAGGCACTACCTTAAATTATGTCATATCAACACCAAAGGCACTACCTTAAATTATGTCATATCAACACCAAAAGCACTACCTTAAATTATGTCATATCAACACCAAAGGCCCTGCCTTAAATTATGTCATATCAGCACCAAAGGCACTACCTTAAATTATGTCATATCAACACCAAAGGCACTACCTTAAATTATGTCATATCAACACCAAAGGCACAAGCTTAAATTATGTCATATCAACACCAAAGGCACTACCTTAAATTATGTCATATCAACACCAAAAGCACTACCTTAAATTATGTCATATCAACACCAAAGGC